AAGAACTGGCATCCGCGCGCGGGCGCGGCAACGTGGAGCGCTCCTCCGCCTCCTCGCCCCCCCTTCCTTCTTTTCCTTTACTGAGTCGTTCCGCGCGTGCTCGAGCTGGCGAACCTCGGCCGCTAAACCGCGCTGGCGCATTCCAGGGAAAGCGCGTTCAAATGCGTTTCCCCGCGCATCGTGGTTCTTCATGGCCAACGCGACTGCATGGCGAAGCGCCCTGCAATAGATGCAGGCGCCCCTCCCCGCCTACCCCTTCTCCACTTCCCACCTCCCCCTCCTTCTCCCCCTCCTTCTCCACCTCCACCTCCGCCTCCTTCCCCCCCCTTCCATCCCCGCCGCCCCCCCTCCTCGCCACGTTCTCGCCCCCCCCCCCCCCCTCCCAGGCATTGGCTTGTAGACCCCGCTAGCGATCGCACTCGGTATCCACCGCGGTAGGGGTGGCCCCGTTCCCCCGTTCTCTCTGCGTAGTTCCACTATTCCCCCCCCCCCGCCCCCCCCTTGCTCCGTCAAGGTGCATGGCGCGCGGCGGCCGCCGCGCCCCTAGACTTAATGGCGCATTTTGGAAGCAAGCTCCGGCTCCCTGCGTTGCCCCAAAACCCTGATGAAGGTCTGATTTATGTCTGCGCTGGAACGCTGATTCGCCCTCAGCGCCAACTCTGATGTAGGTGCAACTGGAACGATGATTCAACTGTGGCCCGAAGACCCAAGCCTGATTTAGGTATTACGTGGGACTCTAATTTAAATGTGATTCCGGTTTGGTATGGCCCTGCCGAACCCGACGCCGCGGCGTCGGCCCATCAGAGCGCCGCGGGGCCGGCCCCGCGCGCGCGCGCGCGTTCAAGAACAACAGAAATACGCAAGCGAAACGGCAGGTCATGGCCGGGGCCCCAGCCGCCAACTGCCAAATGCTGCGAACTGGGCCCGCCTGCGCACGCCGACCTGCGGCAGCGCTGAAGCCGAGGCCTGCGCGGGGGGCGCGGAGAAGGGCACCCCCCGCGCGCGGCCCCGCCCAAAACTGCACAACGGCGGCTGGGATGGAGAAGGGCTTGCCCGAGGCTCGCCCCTCGGGCCCCCGGCTGCCGCGCCGCGAAATGGCGCGCAGAGCGGCGACCGCCCCGCGCCCGCTGCCCGCCCGGGACAGGTCGGGTGCAGGCAACGCAGAAGAGAAACGCCGCACTTGTCGGAAGGTTCGGGGGCGCGGCAAGCGCCCTGGGAGGTTTCTGAGAGGCTCGGGGAACGGGGGGGGCCTGGGAGGGACTCGGAAGGCGTTTGAAAGCGGAGGCGGCCCGGGAAGATGACCCGGGAGGTTGGGGGGGGTGGGGGGGGGATGGCTCGGAGATTAGGGGGAATGAAGAAACCCAGGCAGGGCTTTGAAGGTGCATGGGGGGGGGGGGGGGACTCGGGGGCTTTTCGGAAGTCGCCAGAGGGTGCCTGAGCGTTGGGGCTGCTTCCGGACGATAGGAAAATGGTCCGGAAGTAGCGGGCGGCTCTGGAGGGGCGCGGGAAGTGTCGGGGCATATTGGACCGCAGCGGGAGCTTCTTCGGGTGCATTCGGGGGCGAGTTTTCTAACCAGTAGAGGCGGGGGGGCGAAAATGTGCAAAATCGGCTCGCGTTGTAAGCGGGCTAGTTTTGACCAGCACTTGCTGGTGCAATTTCGCTCGCTCAGATACGCCCCCCACCCCGTCGTTTTTGCGTCGTCGACGGGGGGTCGCGCGCGAGCGGATTAGTGGCTTTTCTTGCTTTGCGGTGTAATGTGGCTGGGAAGCCCCCCAAAAAGAGGGCAAAGATGGCGCGCCGCATGGCCCCGCGCCGTTTCGGCGAGGCGGGCAGGGGCGGGGGGGGGCCCTCGTCTTCGCTGTAGTGGGGGCGGTTCACCCCGCCAGCCCTCCCTGGGCGTAGGTGCTCTGGCGATGCTCCTCTTCCAACCCCGGGCTTCCCCTCCGGCCATGCGCCTTTGGCGTTGTTTTGGGAAAATCTCGGGGAAACCCTCGGGCGCCCGGAAGCCTTCGCCGGCTGTCTTGGGGCGTTGGAGCGGGCGAGGGCGCGGGAACCGCAGAACGCAAACATTTGGGGCACGCGTGGCGCTGCTCGTCGGAATTCTGTGTCATTTCGTTGTTTTGGAGGGGGTCTGGTTGGGTAGTTTCGAAACGGCCCCGTGGCTGCCTAGGGCGCGCGTGCGCATGTGTCTGAAGCGCGCGGAGGCAGCTTCGGGCCCTCGCGGGGGGGCCGCGGCCGTCGTGGAGGCCATCCCGGGCAATCTCAGCGCGCGGGCGCGAGGCGCGCGCGCGCGCCTGCGGTTCGAGCGCGCCTGGGGGGGCCGAGAACGAGGCGGAGGAGGACATGGGGAAAACGGCGGGGGCGAAGGCGGGCACGCGGGCGGGGGCGAGGTCGGGGAACCGAACGAGAGGGCCCAGAGCGGGAGCGAAAAAGGGAGGAACGATGGCGGGAGCGAGGGCCAGAACGAAGGCCAGAACGAAGGCGGGAACAAGGGGCACGAACGCCCGCGAGAACGAAGGCGGAGGCGAGGGCAGGAACTGGGGCGGGAACGACGGCAGGGGCGATGGGCGAGAACGATAGCGAGAACGTAAGCGAGAATGAAGGCGGAAACGAGGGCGTGAACGGAAGCATTCCCCAACGGCCGCATCGCGCAGGCGCCGGGGCAAGCCCGCGGGCCAGGTCGCCGGGGCAAGCCCCGCGAGCCGCTAGCGCGCGAGACCAAGCTGTTGGAACAACCCCGCGGGCTTCGAGCGGGGCGCTCGAGCGGGGCGCAGCCGCGCTCGGGCGGGGGGCAGCGCAGCTCTGTCGCGAGCTGATCCGCCTCTGCCCTGGGATCTTCGCTATCTCGACGAACTCCCCGAGCGGCGCGCGGCGTGCCGCCCCGAACTCTGCCGCGTGAGCCCCTGCTCGCTGGGCGTGAACATCAGCAAGCTCCGCGCCCGCGCCTCGGCCTCGCCGCCGTCGTCGGCGCCTTCGGCGCTCTGTCGCAACAGCTCGGCGAACTCCTGGTAGATCGGCGACTCCTAGAAGCCGTGCACATGCAGCCAGACCCCTATGCGGCAGGAAGCGGGGGCGAAAAAGCTGGCTTGGCGCGCGCTCCTCGTGCCGCTGGTCGCCCTCGAGGTGGAACGCGAAGGACGCGACGGTGGCCCGTCGCTCCTGCACGAGCCCCAACTTCTTCTTCAACTCCTCCTGCGCTGCAGTGAATCAGTCGCACCCCCATGCCGACGTGGGCCGGTTAGACGCCGTGGGTGCCCCCAATCTTGCGCATGTTCGAAGAATTCAAGCGGCGCCGAGCCGCGTCGGGATCGCCCTGGATCGAGTTGCGCTCGCCCACGGCCTGCAGGAAACCAAAGGGCACGCCCAGATGCCGCCAGTCGCGACGAGCGCGCGTCTTGATCCACTTCGCAATTCCCTCACAGAAGAGGCCCCCGCCTCTGACTTCCCAAATCTTCAAGCCTGAGGAACCCAAAAGTGACGACGGCTATAAGGTTCCGGTGACCCGCTCGGAATAACAACGTGATCTGCGGACCACAAAAAGAGGAGGCTCCCGCTTCCGTGCAGTTCACTCACAGACGAGGCCCCCGCCTGACACTTCCGCCTGACACTTCCGCAGTGACGACTTTTACAAGGTTCCGATGGCCCGCCCGCATGAATGGCATGATCTGCGGACCCCATAGGGAGGAGGCTCCCGCCTGAAACCTCCTTCAAGCCGCAGGAGTCGTTCGGATTAGTATCATGATCTGCGGACCCCATAAAGAGGAGGCTCCTGCCTGAGATTTCCTCGCAATTCACGCACACACGAGGTTCCACCTGATACTTCCTCCATCGTCAAGCCGCAGGAGACCAAACATGTCGACAGTTACAGGTTTCCGATGACCCGCTCGAATTAATAACATGCGCTGCGGACATCATACGGAGGGGTTCACGCCTGAGACTCCCACGCCATCAACTCACAGACGAAGCTCTCGCCTGATAGGTCCTCCACATTCAGGCCTCAGGAGCCCAGAAGTGTCGATTCTTACAAGGTTCCGATGACCCGTTGGGACTACTCACTGAGCTGCGGGCCCCATGAGGAGGGGGCTCCCGCCTGAGACTTCCGCATCATTCACTCACACACGAGGCTTCCGCATCAGACCTCCGCCATACTCAAGCTTGACGAGGCCAAACGTGACGACAATTACAATATTCCGATGGCCCGCCTGGACTACTTACATGAGCTGCGGGCCCCAGAAGGAGGGGGCTCTCGCCTGAGACTTCCTCGCAGCTCACTCACAAAAGAGGTTCCCGCCTGAGACTTAACCAATCCTCAAGCTTTACAACCCCAAACGCGAAAACAATTACAGGATTCCGATGACCCGCTCGGATCAATAACGCGATCTGCGGTGCCATATGGAGGGGGTTCCCGCCTGAGACATCCTCGTACTTCACTCACAGACGCAGGCTCCCGCATCAGACTTAAAGAGGCCAAACTTGTTGACAGCTACAAGATTCCGATGACCAGCTCGGACTACGGGGACAATGACACAATAATGATAAAAACCATCGTCACCGTTGTATCCTTCCAACTATTATGGAAGACGCCTCCTGTAGAGGGACACGCTCGACTTCAGATTATGAAAACAAGCTCTGGTCAGCCTAACCAGGCAGGTCAAGACGCTGCGCCACTGCTGCCCGACCCTCGACCCTCGCGAAAGGGCAGGAGGGCCCAGAATCGAATCGACAAGTCTGATCGTCGATCGACATGAATCGGACCGACGGAAAAATCGGCAGCCGAAGTCGGGAGAAGTCGCATCGGCGGAAATATCGGCAGGCTACACTGGGCCTCCGTTGAAGAATCGGAACCCACATCGGAGTCCGAAGTCGAGACAAATCGAAATCTTCGAAATCCATAACCGTCGAAATCGCAGCCCATCGACACCGAGATTAAACAAACCATCGGACAATCGCGGCCGAAGCGAAGCGGAGACGAGCCCTCGCGAAAGGGCGCCGCGGGGGCCTCGAGAAAGTCCAGGGCCACCTGCCGGGGCTCCCAGCTCGCCGCGGCCTCCCCCGCCAGCAGGGCCTCGGGAGGCGGGCGGGGCGGCCCGCCCGCGGCACGCGCCCGCGCCGGGGGGCCGCAGCGGAGGAGGCCTCCCAACACGCCCAGACTCCAGGCGAAGCCAGGGCGAGGATCAGCATCGAGGGAGGATAAGACGAGAATCTCGGAGATCCGGCGGCTCGACATCGGGCGGAAAGTGGGGGGGGAGGGGGGGGGGTCTGGCTCCAGACCTCTGCTCAGTGCGACTGTTTGCAGCAGTGCGTCCGATGGGGGAGACTCCACCTGCTCGAAACAGGCGCCCAAAACAAACAAGATCTACTCCAGGGGGGGGGAAGGAGGGGGGTGCGAGGACCCGCGCCGATCGGCAAAGCACTGAATAAAACAACTATCATTATATCAGGCGCCCGGCCCTTCTCAGAGCGCTCCAGAATGCTCTGAGAGCGTTCTGGAAAGCTCTGGAACGGACACATCCTCGTGCTGGCCGTACGTCGGGCATGTCCTTAGGCAGGCGGATTTTAGAAGAAAAAACGTAACACCCCGCAGATGCAGATACGAATGAGGGGGCGGTGGGGATATTGGCAATTGGCGAGACTCTGGAAAAGCCCGCCGCAGGCGCCAAAGTTTCACAAATTATACATCGAGCCTGCCGCAGGCGCCGATTTGTTCGTTCAACCAGTGTGGGTAGGTCGCAGGTGGGTCGCGGGTGGGTCGCAAACGGGTCGCGGGTGGGTCGCGGGCGGGTCGCGGGTGGATCGCTGTTGGGTCGCGGGTTGGGTAGCGGGTGGTTCGCGGGTGAAAAGGACAGGAAATCCACCCCATAATCATCACCCCGACAAGCGAAGCCGTTTAGTAAACGCACACAAAGAATGAATCGAACAGGGCAGAGCTGCTTAGGCAACACCCAGGGCCGTTTTAGTAAACGTCAATTGACAGGTCCGGGTGATGTTTCCTCCTTTGAGGGTGGGTCGCGGGGTGGGTCGAGGGTGCGTAGCGGGGTGCGTAGCGGGGTGGGTACCGGGTGGGTCGCGAATGGGTCGCGGGGTGGGTCGCGGGTGGGTCGCGGGTGGGTCGCCGGTGGGTCGCGGAGTGGGTCGCGGGTAGGTCGCGGATTTGGTCGCGGGTTGTGTCGCGAGTTGGGTCGCGGGTGGGTCGCTGGGTGGGTCGCGGGGTGGGTCGCGGGGTGGGTCGCGGGGTGGGTCGCGGGGCGGGTCGCGGGTGGGTCGCGGGTGGGGCGACGACAACAAACAACAACAACAACAACAACAACAACAACAACAACAACAACGACAACAACAACAACAACAACAACAACAACAACCACCACAACCACAACCACAACCACAACAACAACAACAACAACAACAACGACAACAACACCATCAACAACAACAACCAAAACAAAAACAACAACATCAACAACCAGAGCAACAACAAGAACGAGGCGCAGTTGACCGGCCCGTCCAGTGGGGAGCTCCACAGCGCCTCCTCCCCTAGGGACAAGGCCGACTTGACCGGCCCGGGGGCAACCGCGGGACCCCAGCAACCCCAGCAACCCCAGCAACCCCAGCAACCCCCAGCAACCCCGAAAGCTTACCTCCACAGACCAAGCTCTCAACGCTACGTCCTCCATGCGGATTCTGACAGCACGACGCGTGTGCGCACCGGTGCAGCGAGCTCTTGAGGAATCCTATAGGATCCTCGAGAAATCCTATAGGATCCTATAGGAAATCCTATAGGATCCCTTAGGAATACTATAGGATTCCTTAGGAATCCTATAGGAATCCTATAGGATCCCTTTGGAATCCTATGGGATTCCTTGGAATCCTATGGGATTCCTTAGGAATCCTATAGGAATCCGATAGGATCCCTTAGGAATCCTATGGGATTCCTTAGGAATCCTATGGGATTCCTTAGGAATCCTATAGGAATCCTATAGGATCCCTTAGGAATCCTATGGGATCCCTTAGGAATCCTAGAGGATCCCTTAGGAATCCTATAGGATTCCTTAGGAACCCTGTGGGATCCCTTAGGAATCCTATGGAATCCCTTAGGAATCCTATAGGATCCCTTAGGAATCCTATAGGATTCCTTAGGAACCCTGTGGGATCCCTTCGGAATCCTATAGGATCCCTTAGGAATCCCATAGAGGAGCTCTATGAGCTCTATGAGGAGCTCTGCTAGGATCCTATAAGATCCTATAGGATCTATAGGATCCTCTAGAAATCCTATGAAATCCCATAGGAAATCCTATAGGATCCTATAGAAATCCTATAGGATCCTATAGGAAATCTATGAAATCCTATAGGATCCTCTAGAAATCCTATAGGACCCTATAGGATCCTATAGGACCCTATAGGATCCTATAAGATCCCTTAGGAATACTATAGGATTCCTTAGGAATCCTATAGGAATCCTATAGGATCCCTTAGGAATCCTATGGGATCCCTTAGGAATTCTATAGGATCCCTTAGGAATCCTATGGGATCCCTTAGGAATCCTATGGGATCCCTTAGGAATCCTATAGGATCCCTTAGGAATCCTATGGCATCCCTTAGGAATCCTATAGGATCCCTTAGGAATCCTATGGGATCCCTTAGGAATCCTATAGGATCCCTTAGGAATCCTATGGGATCCCTTAGGAATCCTATGGGATCCCTTAGGATTCCTATAGGATCCCTTAGGAATCCTATGGGATCCCTTAGGAATCCTGTGGGATCCCTTAAGAATCCGATGGGATCCCTTAGGAATCCTATGGGATCCCTTAGGAATACTAAGGGCGTGAGTGGTCTAAGGAGCTCGTTCTGCTAAACCCCCTTTTTCCCCTTCGGGGAGGGGGTTCCCCCTCCCCCTACCCCCTCCCCCTGGACCTGGAGGGAGGGTGCCGCGAGCGGTTGGAGCGTCCAAGATGGCCCAAGATGGCTCCAAGCGGGTCCCAGAGAGCCCAAGATGGTCTCCAAGATCGCGCAAGATATCCCAAGATGGTTCAAGATAGCTATCAACATGCATCCAAGAGCTCTGGAGACCGCCCCAGGACGGCTCCAAGTGCCTTTCGAGCCCTCCAAGGAAGCCCTCAAGAGGCCAAAATCATTCAAATCCTGTATGTTTTTCCGATGTTTTTTGCATTGTCACCCTTTCGCGCCCGATGGCCTCTTGAGGCCTCAAGATGGCTTCTGGATGGCCCAAGAGGGCCCCAAAAGGGGCCCAGGGGGGCCCCAAGACCGCCCCAAGAACACCCAAGACCGCTCCAAGAGCGGCCCACGAGGGCCCCAAGAGGTTCATTTTCGGGCCCCGACGGGGGGACGCAGTTAAGGACCCCCCCGTCCCCGACTCGACCATGTCCTATTGAATTCCGATTCAAAAACAAATAAATGATTAAGGAATTCCTCCGGCGGCTGGGACTCGACCATTTCCTATCGAATTCCTATTTCAGCGTTCCGAAGGATCCAACCTGTTTATACTAAGTCCCCGCGCAGGTCACTCCGATGCCCCCCCCCCCCCCAGCAGCCCTCGAAAGTGGCGACAGTTTCGCAGACCGCAGCCCCCCCAGGGATGGCGAAGTCAAATCTGTAGGGTCCCTTGGGAATCCTATGGGGTCCCTGAGGAATCCTATGGGTTCCCTTAGGAATCCCACTGGGGATCCTATAGGAATCCTGTTGGAATCCTATAGTAATCCTATGGGATCCCTTAGGAATCCTATGGGATCCCTTAGGAATCCGATGGGATCCCTCAAGAATCCTATAGGATCCCTTAGGAATCCTATAGGATCCCTTAGGAACCCTATGGGGATCCTATAGGAATCGTACGGGAATCCTATGGGATCCCTTAGGAATCCTATGGGATCCCTTGGGAATCCTATGGGGTCCCTGAGGAATCCTACTGGGATCCTATGGGAATCCTATTGGAATCCTATAGGCATCCTATGGGATCCCTTAGGATTCCTATGAGATCCCTTAGGAATCCGATGGGATCCCTGAGGAATCCTATAGGATCCCTTAGGAATCCTATAGGATCCCTTAGGAATCCTATGCGGATCCTATAGGAATCGTATGGGAATCCTATGGGCTCCCTTAGGAATCCTATGGGGATCCCTTGGGAATCCTATGGGGCCCCTTAGGAATCCTATGGGATCCCTGAGGAATCCTATAGGATCCCATGGGATCCCTTAGGAATCCTATGGAATCCCTAAGGAATCCTACAGGATCCCTTAGGAATCCTATGGGGTCCCTTAGGAATCCTATGGGATCCCTGAGGAAGCCTATGGGATCCCTGAGGAATCCTGTAGGGTCCCTTGGGAATCCGATGGGGTCCCTGAGGAATCCTATGGGATCCCTTAGGAATCCTACTGGAATCCTATAGGAATCCTATGCGGATCCTAAAGGAATCGTATGGGAATCCGATGGGATCCCTTAGGAATCCTATGGGGATCCTATGGGTATCCCTTAGGTACCCTGAGGAATCCTATGGGATCCCTGAGGAAGCCTATGGGATCCCTTAGGAATCCTATAGGAATCGTATAGGAATCCTATGGGATCCCTAAGGAATCCTATAGGAATCGTATAGGAAACCTATGGGATCCCTAAGGAATCCTATGGGATCCCTGAGGAATCCGATAGGGATCCCTCAGGAATCCTATGGGATCCTACCAGGACCCCTTCCGCGGCCGCGGAAGGGTTGCTGGGGTTGCTGGGGTTGCTGGGGTTGCTGGGGTCCCCCCGGGCCGGTCTAATCGTCCTCATTCAACAACAACAACCACAACAACAATCAATTTAAAACTGTTCGCTCCTATCTGCTCACGTGCTAATCAATACGTATGTCCCAAACCCTCGGTACCCGCCCCCCGTCGTCTTCGATCGTCCCCCCTTTGGGGTATATCTTCCTGACCTGCCACGTGTATTTTGTTCAGCCCCCCAAACAAGGGAAGAGAGGACGGGTGGAAGGGGGAGGGAGAATAATTGAGCACGAAAGAAAATAGCAGGAGGGGGGCAAGAAGTAGAAAACATGTGGTAGAACCAGACGGGCAGATC